TAATTGATTTTCCAAAACTAGGGTTAACCCTAGGGTTAAGCTAGGGTATTTCATGCAAATGATTGTATAGGAATGTAGTCCAGACTATTTTTAGAAATCTTCTTTCTCTCCTCCTTTTGGGGTTTGGCATGCCTATTATTGAGTAATTTTTGGTCTACATTTGAAATTTGATGTCTGAAATTGCATTATCTTTAAGATTTGGTGAGATGATGAGAGACTTAAAGGCGAAAGGATATTTCTAAAAATAGTCGTTTTGTGAACGGCTTAACTCTAGCGAATGAGTATAACCGGAAGTAGTCTACTTTCAATTTGACTAGCTCTGGATGTTGATATATAATGTAGACTAGTGGAGTACTTTCAATTTGGCTAGCTCAAGTTTTTCATGGTCATGATAATAATTGATATATTGAATTTTTGACAAAAAACTAAGTTCTAAGTCTTGGCCAGGCTTTCATGTGACAGAAGGTTTTTAAACGCAGAAATTAGTTAGAAAGTAGTCCATGTCCTCTTGAACTCGAAGTGGTTCGTTCTGTTTTGTAAGATTTTTTTTAGTGAGATATAAAGCTATTTAAAATACTCACTTCATTCTAGTCACTGAACCAAATTTCATTTCTAACTTTGAGCTTATGCATATTGAATCATTAGCCTTTAGCAGGCCTAAACCGCTAAAAGACCTATCTATCGGTGTCTGTAAATTGCCAACTCTCAAACATAGGCCTAGATATTTTCCCTTGCCCTTTTTCATTGGGTAGTCTAGAAATTGATCTATTTGAACGCAATTAATATTCAGAATAAATGACTCATGTTTGCTGTTTTCTCACATTTTCGATACCAGTAGGCTACATGGAGTTTTCAGTACCGGTACTTTGTTTTGAAATGGAATATCAATGTGTACTTGGTGTATTGTACTCTTAGTCAGATGGTAGGCCTAGAAGATTTAGGTTTAAATATAGGCCGTAGCAGGTTTTTGATGAAAATAAAATAAGCATGAGCACACATTATCACTTTGGACTTTGTTTTTGCAGAGTTTATCTTGTGTCAATTTGCTGCCAAAATGTTTTCAATTCACATTATTTGATTCTATTTATTGTAGAAAAAATACTATAAGTTTATGTGTCTAAATGCGGATGGCTGATAAAGTATGTTATTGTGGTAAGAATCTAGACAAAGACAAAGGTTCTACATTAGTGTGTCTGGAATGCAAAGTTAAATTTCATTTAGGTAAAGTTTACATGTTACAAATCTAAATCTAGAGAAACCAAGACCAGGGATTTGTTGTGAACAAAATAGGCCAGAAGGTGTTCTTTTGAGATGCATTTTCTTACAGGTGTATCCCGCTTTTTTGTAGATGGACAAAATGTTTTTGCTCACATTTTCATTTTTTAATGAACCCTTTTAAAACAAATTCAGTTTCATCAAGTAGATACATAGTTATAAATAGCATACCTATAGAAATATTTTCAGGGAAAATTTGTGACATTTTTGATAATTATAATACCCTTTTTTAGGGGTTGATTTGTGTCTTGAATATAATATCTATATATTGTTTTCCTTCAAAAATATCTCAAACTAGAATTTTCTTTTCCTATTTCTTCAGATGTCTTTTCTATATGGTAATGTCTAAACAAAAAAGGATGTGTCTTTTTAACTTTCAAATGTTGATAATTTTGGTCACACACGGATTTGAATGCTTAAATTTCTACGATAATCTGTGAAAACTATTACTGATTATCTTAACTAAAAAAATACTATTTCTGAGATTAAAGTACAATTGGCAAACCTATCTGTTAAAGAAATTATGGTGGCAATGATAATGCAAGAAATATCCTCTAATGTACAAGTATTATTTATGAAGCAAAAATAATTTTTAAATTAAGAGTTTTATTTTGTCTTTAAGATTGTCTGAAAACAGGAAAGCCTTCCAATTTACATGGTGATGTATTTTTTGACTTGACATGTTCAAGATGTGCTGAATTTGATACAGAACAGATAGAACGCTCCAAATTACCTTGGTAATTTATTTTTCTTCATTTAATTGTATATAACCGTTATGTTATAATTCATAACTGAAATCTGCTAACTATTGTCCATGAAATTTTTTTTCTGCTTCTCAAATTATAAAATAGAGGGGACTGATACTTTCAATGACCATCTGTGTATTCTGAAACATTCCCGTGTGAAAGAAATCAAGATGACTCATGCAGAAAATAAGGAAGTTATTCTTAGATGATAAAATTAAGCTCTTTCTAATTTTTTGATGATATTCCTCTCTCTCTCTGACTGATCGTAACTGTAATTCAATTTTTGTGTCTTGGGAGAAGAATAATTTAAGTCATCTTGAAGTGTGTTTGACATCTTAACCACCTGAAATAGAACTGAACAAAGTCATTCATGGTGAGAAGTTAGCTAAAGAAACAAATACTATAGGGATTGAGATAGGAATCAATAAGATTTTCCTTAAATAAAACGATAAAGATATTTTATAATGAACATTAGTTGCATTACTAAACAATATTACTGTATAAAAAAGAACTATTTTTATTGTATGATATGAAAATTTTAGGTTAACTATAGTGAGTATAGCACTGTATAATTTACATCTATCTGGTAATGGTAAACATGGTTATTTTAGATGGAAAGAACATATTTGTGCTTATATAGATAAACATTGGTCATTATTACTAGGACCTCATAAGTTAGTATATTAACATACCTTCTATGATACTTTACACATGATTTTAGGCAGCTAGTTTGGAATATCGGTAAAGATATTGTATATTATATATCTATGATGTATGCAAAGTCAGTGATCCTTGTGAACTCTCCAGTTTGGCTGGATGTCAAAATTTAAATTTAAAAAATTCTACATTTATTTACCTACAAGGCAATGCTTTTCCAAAAATTTAGGCACATATTTGCCAAAGTAGCTCATAGAAAAAAAAGGAAACTATTTTTTAGATTTCAAAAATATTTTCAACATTTCTTTACTGTATGTAGTTTTTGATTAATTTGTATTATGTAGAAAAAAGACATCATTATGGTATGGTACAGTAGCTGGAGCATTGTCTTCAGGTTGTCCTACTTATTTTACATCTGGGTCACAAGAATTAGGGGAACCAGGCTGGTGGAAATTGACAGATTTATCATCACCAATTTGTAAACCAGGTGATGATCTATTTATGAGTTGATAATTATACTTTGGGGATATGAATCCATCATCAGATTTCCAATTTTGGGAATGGAGTTGTTATAGTTAATTCTTGAAGAATCCATTTCCATTGCAATAGTGGTCTCTTAAAGGGATTGTTAAGAGATTCACTATAAAACATTATATGTATTAGGATCACTGATTTTCAATCAGACATATTCTGTGACTTCTGTATTTCTACTAAAACTAAGTGTTTAATGACATCTCTATTAGATGGAATGGTGCAATTTGATGCTATCATTGTCCATGATACACATACAAAATGTAGGAAACAACTTAACAATTCCTATAGATAATCATAATTTGTTCACCATTTTAGTTGATATAGTATTAAGAAAGGGAAGAAGGCATGAAGTCCATCAAGCACCAGCTGTTAAAATAGAAGGATTACGTGTCCGAAGTAAAAAATCAGCTATCGAAGCAGCTATAGAATTGAAAGAAAGGAGACTGAGAACTTCTACTGTAACACAGAATAAGAAAGATCCAATGACATCTAGTGATCAGGGTGACCAGCAACCAGTGTGCACACCACTCCAGATAAAAACTGAACCTGTCAGTGAACCTGTGTTTGATTATAATGTTAAAATTAAAGATGAACCTCTTGATACTACATCATTATTAATTGCTAGTACTAGTTCTACTAGTGACCTGTTATCAACATCCTCCAGTGACTTACTGACCAACCAAGATCTCATACCTCAAGGTAAGACTTTCAGGATTCTAGAATTATTATTATACTCCCTGTATGACCATTATCATACATGCAATTTTATTTCCTTTAGAGAGACCACACAGCTGAAGATGTACAAATAATTATTTTCCTACTGTATCATTGTTCTAATGTTTTGCAGATAAACTACCAGATTTCTTGCTACAAGATGATGAGATAGAAGGTGATGATGAAAGTGATATAGAAATAGATCCAGATGGTTTATCACCAGATGATTCTTCATTAAGTTTAAATAATAACTTTTCATTAGATGATCTTCTGTCCAATATATCAGGTAGGAGAACTTGAACTACCCATTTCCTGTATTGATTGCACAGTAGATGGTTTAACCCAATAATGAGCAGAAAGGAATGTAAAACTCTATTCAAAAGTTTGTTTTGGTTTCAATGTTGATTATTGTTCTTTTGTTCATTATATTTAGATCAAACCAGTGACGATGTTGGTAATATACCAGATAAAACTATAGTCAGTCATATTAAATCAGACCCTGAAGATTGTAATGATGAATCTGAAGATGATGTAGAGGAAGAGAAGAAACAGTGTGGTAGTGATGATGATGGTGATGCAGATGATGCAGAAGAAGATGAAGTAAGAGTACCAGACGAGTCCAACATCAAGAAAGAACCAGTCAGTGATGTTGAGGAAGAGGAAAGTGAACTGTTACAGCATCTAAAAGACTCCAAACCAAGAGTTCGGGTGAAGAAAGAAGTTGTCACACCGCAACCCAAATTACCTCAGTAAGAATCTGGCCCTGTATTCTCAAAATGATCTTAGCACTGGGATGTCCTAAGGTCTTGTTCTCTACATTGCCTCTAGGATATTCTAGTGCTAAGAGCATTTCGGTGTTATTTCACATATACATATATTTTAATCTCTAAGGATAATTGTAACAAACAAATTGTACAAAATTACAAAATTTTAACAAATGGATAATTCAGGATATTATAATTGTTTTATTATAGATATAAAGCTATCAGTTTATATGATGAACAGATATTATTACAGAAATTAAAACAGGCAGCAGATATACAGCAGTTATCACCAGAATTAACTCGTTTTAAACAGAAACTAATAGTCAGACAGGTAATCTTAGTCAACTTAATTGCCAATTTGTGTTGAATTTCAGTTGCAGTAACATTGTGCATAGTTTATTTTCATAAATTCAATGATGTAAGATGATAGATATAAATTTTTCCAGTTTTGGTGATATTTCTCCAGTTTTAGTGATATTACTTTAGTTTTGGTGATATTTCTCCAGTTTTAGTGATATTACTTTAGTTTTGGTGATATTTGTCTAGTTTTGGTGATATTTCTCCAGTTTTAGTGATATTACTTTAGTTTTGGTGATATTTGTCTAGTTTTGGCGATATTTCTCCAGTTTTAGTGATATTACTTTAGTTTTGGTGATATTTGTCTAGTTTTGGTGATATTTCTCCAGTTTTAGTGATATTACTTTAGTTTTGGTGATATTTGTCTAGTTTTGGTGATATTTCTCCAGTTTTAGTGATATTACTTTAGTTTTGGTGATATTTGTCTAGTTTTGGTGATATTTCTCCAGTTTTAGTGATATTACTTTAGTTTTGGTGATATTTCTCCAGTTTTAGTGATATTACTTTAGTTTTGGTGATATTTGTCTAGTTTTGGTGATATTTCTCCAGTTTTAGTGATATTACTTTAGTTTTGGTGATATTTCTCCAGTTTTAGTGATATTACTTTAGTTTTGGTGATATTTGTCTAGTTTTGGCGATATTTCTCCAGTTTTAGTGATATTACTTTAGTTTTGGTGATATTTGTCTAGTTTTGGTGATATTTCTCCAGTTTTAGTGATATTACTTTAGTTTTGGTGATATTTGTCTAGTTTTGGTGATATTTCTCCAGTTTTAGTGATATTACTTTAGTTTTGGTGATATTTGTCTAGTTTTGGTGATATTTCTCCAGTTTTAGTGATATTACTTTAGTTTTGGTGATATTTGTCTAGTTTTGGCGATATTTCTCCAGTTTTAGTGATATTACTTTAGTTTTGGTGATATTTGTCTAGTTTTGGTGATATTTCTCCAGTTTTAGTGATATTACTTTAGTTTTGGTGATATTTCTCCAGTTTTAGTGATATTACTTTAGTTTTGGTGATATTTGTCTAGTTTTGGTGATATTTCTCCAGTTTTAGTGATATTACTTTAGTTTTGGTGATATTTGTCTAGTTTTGGCGATATTTCTCCAGTTTTGGCGATATTTCTCCAGTTTTAGTGATATTACTTTAGTTTTGGTGATATTTGTCTAGTTTTGGTGATATTTCTCCAGTTTTAGTGATATTACTTTAGTTTTGGTGATATTTGTCTAGTTTTGGCGATATTTCTCCAGTTTTTGTGATATTTCTCCTGTACCATAGAGCAGGATGTAAGAAATTTCAGATCTCATATAAATTTTAAGTCTAATTGACTAATATCGCCAAAACTGTATGAGTATTATTTTGGACTGAGAGTTTTTGTTTCTGTGAATGAGTTATTGAATTCCAGCTAACTTAAGTTTATAGTATTGCCCTATAAAAAATTATGAATATTTCAGTTAAAAAGAGAACGTGGATTACCAGTATTTGATTTAGATCATGAAGTTAATAAAAGATTAAAATCAGATAAGGTAAGGCATTTTAAGTTCCTTTTAAATATTCAACGTTATATATTCTATGAGAGGTTCAGTTATACCAAGTCTCAGAGAGGAGCAGTTTCATTATATTTGAAGTATGCAAAATTTTGGCAAAGGTCAAGGTTCGTTCTTAATCTTCAAATGATGCCTGAAATCTATGAGAGGAATTTCAGTAAATGAAGTATTCAGACGAAAAGCCCAGGATTATGTGTTAACAAAAAATCCAGCTGTTAGACCCAGTTGCTGTTGGTGAATTATTAAGCTTTTTAAACCACTGCATATAACAATTTGATTAATTTGAAGGAAGATAGTGAGCCACCAGTACAGTTTACAAGATTTCCTCATGGCGATTTAAGAGTGCTAGACAGATTTCAGGTTTGTATTATAACAATTTAGAATTTAAGAAAAACTATTTGATTAATTGGTGTTTTTAATGACTTATGTATTCTTAATCATATAATTATGTTCTTATTGAGATATAAGAGTTTTGAAGAATCATAAATGTCCATGTATGTACAGTCTGGATAAACAAAAAGAGCACTTTTTGACCTTTCTTGATTGGTCACTCATTGGAATTCTGCTGGAAATTCTCTTCTAATGTAGCTAATTATGAATTCATTATGGACATGTGGGAGTAACTGGTATTTTTCCAAGTCATTATAACACCTCTACTTTCTATTCATATAAGCATTAGCATTTTCATTTTCATAAATGAAAGTAAGGGAATCCATCTTTAACCATTTGAACACAATTAAGCTCATATACTCTAAACTCCAAGTTATTTTCAGTCATTGATGTTAACATTATGTGACATCATTTGGGTATGGCCACATTACCATCCACTAGGGTATTATATCACAAATTTATGTGGCTGGTAGAGCAACTGCTAGTTTTGAAAGGGTTCAAAATCTTATTATTACAACTTTATCTTATAAAGTACTGGTGAGTATTTTCTCTACTTCAATATTAAGTGGATTGGTAGTGTGTATATTTTGAATCATTTTTCTTCAACTAACCTATAGTTCTGTTATTAGATAGGTAACCATGCCTCTGTAGAGTTACAGCCAGAAAGACCATGTTTTATCAACCGCTTAGTAGGAACAGATGATGACCAATTACAAAGTATTAGAAGCCCTTACACAACTAGGTATACATGCTGGCTTTAAAATTAAATAAAGAACTTTCAGGAAGCTAGAAAATAATTTCTTTATTGATGGACATGTTAGTGTATATTGCTTTTGATTGGAATGGATGTTTTGTGAAGAAATGTTGAAAATCTTAAAATTGTCGTCAAAATTTCAAAATTATATTTTATGATTTCAGTGTGCAATATTTTTTCTACCAAACTGATTTTATTTTCAAAAAGCTTGTCACAAGTGTCATTTCAAACATAATTTCTTTTTTAAATAACTGTATTTATTTGTTTTAGAATCTTAAAACCATTTATCAGAAGAGATTATGAATCACAACCATTGAAAATGAAATTATTAGAAGAAATAAAAGCTTATCCTCACAGGTAATATAATTTACTAAAGTTTCAATAAATTTTAAATGTTGTTCAAATTTTTTATAGAAAAAAATGTGTGTTATGATTATATTTAAAATTTGAAAATTATGCAGTTAGTAGCAAATTAGATAATTGTCTGATAACCGATGGATTATATGAGGTAGATCTCTGAATTTCCTTTACAGCAGGAACAATTCTGATGCCAAGGACAATGCCTTGGAGAGGTACTCCTGTTTAGGTGTCTAACCCCTATAACTAATTGGCTTTATGGAGAATGTTTAATTATAAGGGCAAATTTAATATTTTTTGTTTATCTATTTTGTAGAAATGATAAAAATTGGAAAGCTAGTGATCCACCATCTATAGATTATTGTTATGTTAGACCAGAACATATACCATCAGTTAATATATTATCACAACAATTCTTCTGGCCTCATATAGACTGTATGTATTATTATTATATCTGATATTCTCCATCTTGTATCCTCCATATGTTTAAACTGTGAAGGCACAATAAAGTTTTCACAAAGACACTTTTGAGGAGAATAATTATGTATGGTAAATGTTTTTGCTGAACTTTGTATAAGATTAGATATTGAATTTTGACACCCTTCTCTAGATTTTAACCTTTTCCACTAGACTCCAAGTTCCAAATTCTCCATGTGTATTGGACATTAAAAATGTTATAAGGAATGATTATATCAATATTTTATTATTGTAAAATATATAAATATCTTATTTTTCAGTGTCAGAATGTCTCCATTATCCTGATTTTAGTTGTGTTGTATTATTTAGGTAAGCCAATCACATTTCTTCCAATCAAATTTCTTCCCTCTCCAACAGTGGGATTTTGTGATGCGAACAAAAGGTTTATTAGCTAATAAAAAACAGAATGAAAGTTTGGTACATCAAGAACACAAGAAACTTCTAAATCATTCATAACAGATGGTTTTTACAATAATATTAGTCAAAAAATAGGGGTTGTGTATGATATACATGGAAGCAAAATGTAAACCCAATACCCAGACACCATCCGTAACATCTAGGTTTATGTGTAAAGTGTTTGTTTATTTGAAGATACATCAGGTCATGTTTTTATCCATTCACTTGTATAACTTTGCTTAAGAAATGTATTTGAATTTCAGAAAAATTGTGATAGGTTTTGCATTTATGGTACCTGATGTAAAATATAATGAAGCATATATATCATATTTATTTACTCATCCTGAATGGAGACGAGCCGGTATTGCTAAATTCATGGTTTACCATCTTATACAGGTATTTTCAGTTATTTTCTTACATTAATTTTGAATCTTTACCATTATCCATTTAATGTCTTTACCATTAATATTTTCTTTCTTGCTGTCCTCGTGAAGATTTTGAGAAACATGTTTCAGCAGCATGAAATTACGTGATCTAGTCATTTATTTGACAAAATTTTAGGAAGGATAATATTCACACATCTTCTTAGATGGATTTATGATACCAAGTATGAAATTTAAATGGAATTTTTGAACGCTATTTCAGACATGTATGGGTAAAGATGTGACTTTACATGTTTCTGCTACAAATCCTGCCATGTTATTGTACCAGAAATTTGGTTTTAAACCAGAAGAATTTCTACTTGATTTTTATGATAAATACTATCCTGTAGATAGTAAAGAATGTAAACATGCCTACTTCCTCAGGTTGAGAAGATAATAAAGTAAAAATCAATCTATATTGATTCTTGTGAATCTTTTAGTATGTCTTCTTGTCCTATTTCACTTCTTTTCCTCATAGGACCTTTGAGTTCCCATGATGAACTAGTTTAGGTACATTGCATTGGAGGCAAATATCCTGATGATCTTGGGAAATAGTTTCTTGCAAGCAGTGTCCAGTTGTTAGTGGAAGATGGGTACAGCTGCAAGAATTTCAAAACAGTAGATGCAAACACACAAGGCGTGGTACCCAAGCCAAATTACCTCTTCTGTTTTGTACTGTATTGATTATTCTGCACCACACACCTTACTGTACAGTCTTTTAGAATTTTTTAACCCCTCCTTCTCAGCATTAATTAAAATGAATATCTTATCTGAATCACTTTAGTTTTTTTAACTGTATCTATTGTAGTTATTGTAGGGTTAGTTTGAAGCTTAATCTCGACCATCATTAGGGTTTATTGGATGAAAATTTTACAATATTGCATGAATTTACAATGCCCCTGCTTGTTTGTCCAAAGCATTGTATTGTCATTTGTCAATAACATCATTGAGTTTTTCTCTTGATAACGCTGCCTGTATGAGCATGTGAAACATTGAGTTAATAGATACAGAAATAGTAAATCCATCTTGTGCTTCTTTACCTATGCCTATTTCTATATGTCTTAAAAACAACATCATTGAGTACTGTTAACAATGACTTCTAAATATGTTGAATGGCCATTGAAAATAATCAGAAATAACAAATGTTTGAAATTAAGATGAAATTTATTGAAGACTGTGGAACAAGCATGAAAACTGACCAACAAACAATCTGAATAGCACACAACTTAAACTTTCTATACTTCTGTACAATAACAATATACTTTACAATATCCATCTCATCTTCTATTCACAAATATAATACTCTATTACAACAACTTCATTCTCCTATATTTAATATAACCATTCATTTTATACCCTTTATATTGCTAAGTGCTATTACAATCTAACTGAAGGCCTTCACACATTGTAGACTATTTTCAAGGCAGAATACGATTTTGAGATATTTTAACAAAGATAATTTAATTAACATTTCAATTAGATAAAAGTGATGATATCCTGCCTCAAAAATATATTCAATGTGTGAAGGTCTCAAACAATAAATAGAGTTCAGTGCATGCCTTTAAGATTGAGAGTATGAACTATGTATTTATAAAAAAATAGCTTGAAAATCTTTCATAACAAATTAAAATAACAATAGAAAGTATTTGAATCCCAAAAATATCATTTGATCATTAAAGAAAGTATCTAAATACCAAATTAAGAAGATAAACCTCTCCAGGCAGCCAATGGGGTTTATTTCCTTAAAAACCTCAAGAAGTAGGTGTTAATATATTAAAACTGTTTAGATACAATATAAAGTTACACTAACTGTTCCCATTTTACATATTAATATGTTACTAAGAGATTGATAATTTAACCCTCTGAACACTGGCAGAAACTCTAAAGGCCACAAAGTAATGGTTATGTGCCACAGTGGCCAAAACCAAGTGACGTTCAGGTTATTTTACTAGAGTTCAGGGTAGGCCTAAAAGGAAACAAGTGCACTACCCACAAATCATAAACCTGAAAGTTCAAGGTCAGTTAGGCTATAAATAAGTTCGACTAGCCAGGTTTTTGGAAATGGAGAGATCACACTAAATAAAAAATCTAAAATCACATCTACTAGATGATATGAGATATCAATAAATATTGAATGTTAAAATATATACATATGATTTGTTTAAAAAAGGATGATATATCATGTAATACAATACATGATAATTTGATAAGCTTCAGAGATCAGCTTTAGAAATAAATGACGATTGGATTTTATTTTAGAATTAATAGATTAACTTGAAATTGGATTCATATGACACGTTTAGATTTTGAAAAAATTTAGAAACTCTTAAGAAGCAAAAACAAGAACAAAAATTGTATGGCAGTGTGTCAATTTTGGAATGTTTTTCATGGCCCTTTTTACTTATCAAATATACATTTCTAAAAAAATACTGAATTGCCATTTTGTTGTCAGTTTGTTATTCCCAAAGATAAATTAAGGGGCTATTTATACAGCAGTAATATTTACATTAAGCATCAGTTAGTTTTAGGGTACAAAGGGATAAATAGTATACGTCAAATTACTCATCATTACCTACCTACAATTTATATGTAGGCACTCCACTGTTAAAGTAATCCAAGTAATAATAAGGAGTCAGTTTAATTTAATATTGCTCTTCCTAACAATTCCTATTGTCAGGGAATATTGGTAGATAATAGGAATAGGACAAACTCTGAAACACACTTTGTACCCTAAAACATGTTATATTATTCATAACATTTGCATATATAATAGATAACCTAGGGATTACTTATTGGGTGCCTAGTGATGAACTATACCAGTACATTGGATCATGCGTGACATTGTCAATTGATACAATTAACTTTTCTTACTGAATTATTTTTTTTTGTTACAATAAATCTAACAAAGATTGGATTATCAGTCTAGAGGAAAAAGAGCCCTATGAAATCTGATTGCCATTTGATTCATAAGCATGTAAATTAAACCACAGAACTATATTATAGTTCTATGATTAAACAAAGATATTGGTGCACATTAAAAGAAAATTTAAAAATCAAAGTTCATAATGTTTCTTACACTACTAGTCTCTTTGAAGCTAATTCAAGGCCAATTAAGGTAATGCAAAGACCAACAACTCTGTACGAAAGACTGATACATTGCATTTTTTCATTTTAGAATATCTAATACTAGATACACTGCATTATTCATATAAGAGGAATACTACCTCTTTGAATGAACATAGGCAATAAGAGTATATTCCTTTTTGGAACTACGCGGTGTTATTACTATACCACAAAATCACTCCATAATACACCACATCTAATTAATTGCTGATTTATCAGATTATACAGGGCTTTTGTTGTATATTAATGACACCCTGTAAGTCTGCTTATCAAAATATACTCTTATTGGCAAAGCTATCTCTTTTAAAATTAGGATGTCTATGAAAATATGCACTTTGATACAATACATTTTTGTTTTACAAAATGGTGTTAACAGAATTAATCACCTCTATAAAATAAATTTATTTATGATTACTAGAAATTAAAATTAATCCTAAAAGCTTGCCCTGATAATTTGTTGACAATGTTTACAGAGAATAAATTAAGCCATAAATAATCAAAATAACAAAGAAACCCTGAATAACATTATCAGTAATAACACTGCCAAAATTGAGCTATTTCAATCACACTATGACTGCTTTTTTTCAGTCGAAGTTGACTACTTTTCCATGGGTGACCCCCTTTGATTCAAAAAAATCCAATGATGTGTAAATCAACAATAATATTTAAAATTAACACAATCTGAGCGCTAGGATGTCCTAGGGTTTTAACTTCTAACATTGTTTCTAGGATATTCTAGGGCTAAGATCTTTTGGAGAATACATGGCCTAGGTTCCAATTTTCTTGTCATTAACAGGAATATTTAGACGATTTGCTTGTACCAGCAGATTGAGCTAGAGCTTCTGCATTCTTTGGCTATACTTATCTATGTGTATAATGTTGTGCTTGTTGATTATTTAATAAAACTAACCATGTATAACCTGAAATAGATTTGTCAATAATTCTGTAACATTTCAGTCGAATTCAGACACATAGCTTAATGGTTACAATAATTATCTGTTATCATGTTATCATGAACAGAATAAAGATAGTTTTAGTGTAAAATCCAATCTTTGAAAATTTTCCTCACATATGTCTCCAAGGACATAGCCACGAAAATTTGGGCCAGTGCTAGCAACTATATCAGACTTGGAATAAGCTTTTAAGCATTCTTAGAGAAATGGATTTAAGTTAGATTAAAGTTTTTGAAAATAAAATATTTTAGTTTCTAAAGAATCAAGCAGCAAAACAGCCTATATACCTACCTGAAAATCTACCCCTATTTCCAGCACCATCTTAATGAAAATTCCTCCAATTATTCCCACCTCCACCTCCTGTATTATGATATGGATTTCTTGGATTATTCATACAAGCATTCAACATACGTGGTGATGCTGCATTATAAACAGGTCTTGAACCTTTCTGTCTATTATCATTCATTACTTTAAAGTCTGGTCTCGCGCCATTAAAGTCCATCCTAATTCCATTTACAAACACCGGTCTCACACCATTGTTGTAATTGGATTTATGTCCGCCAAAGTCAGGTCCTTGAATGTTGTAGTCCTGTCTTGGACCATTTGGTCTCTGGTGCATAAGCATATCCGATCTTGGACCAAATTCTGGTCTTTGAGTCGCAAAACCAGAAGGACGTGGTCCATTCATATTTGATCTTGGAGGCATGAATTCAGATCTTGGTCGGTTTTGGTCTGGGCGGTTTCCTATAAACATAGGTCTCTGGTGGTTAAAGGTTTGTTTAGGTCCTATTGGCATTCTAGAACCATTGTACTGTGTCCGATTATAGTCAGGTCTTGTCATTTCGGGCCGATTACCAACACCAGACATTAATGGCCGGATTATTTGAGTTGTATGACTTGTAGGTTGTTGTTGGTTGAAAACCTGGTTGGATGGTTGTAGTAATCTTACACCTGATTGTTGTATAAGATGAGGTGGTAATGGTGGTTGTTGCAGTGGTGCAGGTGATGGTGCTGGTGAAGGGGTAACACATTGAACAGGGTTGGTCAACATAGTACCTGCTACATTGGATGGTGCTTTTTGTTGCTGTAAATTTATTTGTGGACTAAGATTTGGTGGCATTGGTGAGTTAGAAAGAGGAAAGTTGGAAGGAGGGGGAGGTCTTGTTACATCAGGCATGCTGGTATTTGGTCTACCTGGCATGTTACTAAATATAGAAGACTGATTGACATACAAAGGTCCACCTCCCATAACAGTTGGTGCAGTGGTAGAGGAAGGAGTGATAAATTGGCTTCCAATATTATAACCCTGGACAGGATTAGATGGATATGCTATTCTGGCAGTTTGTAGTGAATTTTGAAGCTGATG